AGCAGGAGCTGGGTTGAGCTTTGCTGCAGGGGAAGACCTGCCTGTGCCAGAGCACAGCTCAGTCCTGGGCCCAGGGAGGACGAACCCACCTTTCCATAAGGACCCCAGAAGAGTAACGGGGCAGTTCCTCATGCCCAGGAGGGGATTTAAGGTGCAACTGCCTGGGCACCATCTTTCTGCACGCTCTGAGCTCCAGATGACCACCCACCCTGAAGTCTCCTGCTAGGAACTCTGCTCTTAAGGCAAAGCCTCCTGATGACTGGCCCGTTAACCCCACTGGGGTCAGAGCAGGGCTGTCACTCCTAAAAGGGGTTGGGGAGGTAGCAGAGGCAGGGGAGAGCTTCCAGCACCCAAAATGCACTGCCCCCACTCTTTTTTTAATGGTAGGCAGAGGGGACACCAAATCTTGGGGAACCCCACACTACATCACCTCTTCAGGCTGCTGCCCTGACCACATCCCTACCCCCCCAAAACAAGCTGCAGGCCAGATCCTGCTGACATCAGTGGGCTCCATGGGGCTGTCAGATCCAGCCCTCCCTGTGCCAAGAGCATCCCACTCTGCTTCCCCACACCCACATCAGGCACTGATATACCCCCCCAGCCAGGTGCAAGAAGCTCATGCCCACCCCTTGCCCCCTCAGCTTGGAGGGACCCCTACGCTCAGGCACGATTCCAGCAGCCTGAGTAATCACAGATGCTTAATTAGCGACAGCAGGGCACTTTCTTAACAAAGCAAATTAATTAGAGGCAATCGAGATTTGAAGGGACTAATGAAGACCAGGACCACCTGGGCTGGCATTGCCTGTCTCCCACCACCACTACCACCACCCATCCATGAGGGCACGGCACAGCTCGTACCGTAGAGTCCCCATGACCGTTGTCCAGCCAGGATTGGGATGTCACCAATAATACGCCAGGGATAAGTCCTCTGCAGTGGGTGGAGATAAAACCTGTCTCTGTTTGGGGTCACGTTGTCACTGGGGGTTTGATGACTGGCTTTGTGATCACCCTCTTGCTTTGAGGTGACTCCCAGAGAAGAACCCAACATGCCCAGCAAAATGCACATGCATTTTGCTGGGCACGTTGGCTTCTTCTCTGGGAATCACCCCGAAATAATGCACACGTTGGCTTCTTCTCCACGAGCCAACCCAAAATTATGGGTATTATGGAGCAGCCGTGCTCTGCACCTGCAGGATCTTCTGGGGTCGAGGGGTGGGATGTGGAGGAGAAACCATCTTGGGAAGTGTGGAGCTCACAGCCTTCCCTCCATCATGTCATAGTACTCTGTGGAGAGATGGAGGATGTGTAAGGACCCAACCCAAGGACTTAATGGATGGAGGGAGCGGGGAGGGCTCAGCCCTTGGCCAGGATCTCCTGGATATGTGGGGGAGGTTGATGCATGCTTGAGGGCATGATGTCCCCCATTGAGGGACATGGGGTGAACGTGACTTGCCTGATGCCGGCAGGACGTTGGGTCCCACGGTCCCCGTGGCGCTGGGGGGTGGAGGGGGGGGTACTGTGCTGCTGGAGAGGAGAAAGGACAGAAGTTACTCTTCATGTCCCAGCTTGGGCTGAAGGTCCTGTGACACCAGGGGCTGTGGGGGACACCACGCCGGGTGGCACAAAGCAGCACCCTCATTACTCACACCTCCTCATCCTCAGCTAACAAGCCTGTGCCCAGGTACCGCACGGCTGCCGGTCCCCCCAGGACTGGCCACGCCAGGATGGGAGCAGGACCGGGGTAGGGGATGTAGTGATGGTGGAAAACCACAGCCTCCTCTTCCTCTCCAGTCTGCGAAGACATTGCCGTCACCTGCGGGGAGGCATAAAAAATCTGTTTGATCCAGCCGCTGGGATGCACCAGGATGATGAACTGGTGAGCACTGGGCGGGCAGCGTGGGAGGGTGCGTGCCCAGACATGCCAACCAAGAAAGCAGCATTTGTTTCCCCCCACGAAGATGAAGGGTTTCATATGATTTTGGTTCAAGATGGACTTTTAAATTAAAGCCTTGGCAGAGTCGTCCTGCCTAATGACTAGCACTTGGCATCGTGGCTCGGCTGCCACAGCCCAACGCTGTGCCCTGCCTGCGCCGAACCACGCAGGGAGGGTCCTGGCTCATCCCAGCCGGGCTATAAATCACCTCCCAGCAGCCCGGATGCGATCGGTGCTGGCAGAGCTGGGGGTCAAACCACCACAAAGAGCCTCAAAACCCCAAGGGGCTGCAAAACCTGGAGTGAGATGGGTGGAGACCACCCAGCTTCTGCACCCAGAGGGGTTCCCATGCTGTGATGAAGCAGGACATGGACATCTTGTTCTCCCGAGCAGCTCTGGAAAGGTCCCTTTGCCCACCTCTTTGATCCTTCTGGTCCTTTTCGGTCCTTCTGTCCCTCTTTGGTCCTTCTGGTCCTCTTTGTTCCTGTGGTCCCTTTGCCCATCCAGCATCCCTGAGCCTTACCTGGGCAGTGGCTGGGGACGGCCCGAACCCAAAGGACATCAGCGCCGATACAGCCAGGCTGTTCATCACCACCTGGTGCATTTGGGAATTTTGAATCATCATCAACTCGATTAAATCTGCTGGAGAGTAAAAAGGGGCCTCTGAGTCAGAGAGAGACCAGAGCGAGGGCACGAGAAACACACCTGGGCTCGTCCCTGTGCCCGAGCGGTGGGAGCTAAGCCAGACCCCCACCCCCACCCCAATTTGGAAGGCCCATGTGGCACTTAAAAATTATTTTGCTTGGATAAAGCTTTAAAATAGCCGCATTTCAGACTTTTCTTATTTGCAAATGTGATTAAACATCTGGTCTGGCTTGCTGAAGGCTGCTCACAAAAGGTGATTAGTGGTGCTGGAGGCATCATCAGACTTTCCGCCCATTCGGAGGAGAATTGCTGCGGTCCTGGCAGCGCTCAGTGCCTTGGCAAAGCCTCTGCCTTGGCACCAGGCGGCAGAGCCAGTGTCCCGGGGGTGGCACTGCGTGGGGAGCGCACCAGGGTCGGCTCCGTTTCACACCACGTCGCGCACGGGGGAAACTCCAAAACCTCCCCAGGGAGGCAGGAGCTGGGGCTGGACCGTGGGGGCTGCTCCCATCTCCATTCCCTGGAGCAAGCACCTCCAAAGCTGGGTCCAGGAGAGGAGCAGGATGGGGATGCCCGGTGCCACCCCCACCCCTGCCTGGCTCTGCACTGGTCCCAGAGCGGCTGTGCCCGTACAAATTGGTGTCCCAGTCCCCTTGGCTGGGTGCCCAGGCCACGGGATGGCTACTGAGGGCAACCCTGCTGCAGGGGAAGCACCGTGTCTGGCTCTGCCTCCCCGTTAAAACATCCCCATTTGCCACAGGCGTGAAGTTCCCCTGTGAAATGCCTGTAAACTCACCCGAGGGGCTGCCTCCGAGATCCCGCTGCCCTCGTGCACGAGACCTGTGAGCCCCTGCTAGCTGGAGCCTGGATAAAAAAGGGTTTGGACCTCCCTGTGCCTCATGTGCCGGATCCCAAAACACTTTCCCGGCTGTGGGGCCGGGCTCCCAGGGCACCCAGGAGGCAGCCAACCCTCCAGCAAGGAGCATTGCAACACAACGCGGGACGTGGCCGGAGCTGGAGGCACAAGGATGGAGGGGGCCAGC